TGAAGGGAGGAGGGCGGCCACTCCATGCCTCAAAACACACTCAGACTTTCCATTTAAAGTGGGGGAGCAACTCATGCTTGGACAGTAGAGGTGAATTTTTTTTTTTTTTAACAGATTTTTTCCTGTAGAGCACATGCGCTCACCAGCAAGACAGACAGAGAGACATAAAGCAAGAAATCACCCCCAAGGGAGTATGGTCATGCCCCAATCCCTTCTTCTCCATTCTTCTCTAGGGATCTTGGGAACACATGTACATGTGCCTGGAATGAGTTTTAAGTCACCAGGCTGAGGACTTGAACCATGGTCACCTACATGGATGTCCAGTGATGTAACCATTATGCCATCTGCTGGTCCCCAGGGTGGGTGATTCTAACTTGGTCTTCACCATCGGTGTCTCTGAGACCAGCCCGTACCCTCTCAAAAGCTGAACAATCCAGGCCAACCTCGGACACTTTGAACAGGCGGGTGTCACAGCATCTAAGTCATCGCCAAAGCGTCCACCCCTTGTCCACCACACCCCCTGGCCCCAAGCCCCCCTCTGACCTCGTTCTTCAGGCTCCTGGCCAGGAAGTGCTCCGCCACGTGCGCAGGAAGCACGTTCTCCAGCAGCACGCGGTTCAGGTTCTCCATCGTCTCTATCTCCTCCCGCTCTTTTTTGAACTTGTTCTTCCATAAGAAGTCTAACCTACAGTAATATTCATTCTGTTACAAGAGGACACAGAGGTGAAGAAACAATAGGCATCTTGTCCTGCCAGAGAGTCAAGGTTTTAAAGAGAAAATAAAAGAATAAAACCATAAAAAGAACCCCGAACAGAATTGCTGCCCTCCCTACAAAGCCCTCTGTTCTCCCCCACCAAATGTCTGTCAATCAATCTCTGACATGGATTTGCAAAAAAGCCAGTAGGAGCTGGCGGCAGGAACAGGGAAGCTGGGGACACTGCAGGTTGCAAGCCACTTGCAGAGTTCATGGAGGATGGTTATAAAAAGAGGCATGCTAAAATGTAGGTGATAAACAAATGAAAAAGGAAAATACATGAATAGAGATGGTGTTTGTGCAATGATCGGCACTTAAAGACAACAGAGCTCATTTGTGGTAGTTTCTCCAGTTTTCCCTTACCATCAATTAATCAATTATGTAATTAAGTATTCATTATAAGTATGGATTTCCTTCTCCCTCGGAGCTGCATCCTACTTAGAGAATGCCATGATAGGTAGACAAAAGTACATTTTGATAGCATTTAATAAAGCTAGGGCCTACTAGTGAAAGCACGTATTTTCATGCTTTATAATGGAGTAAAATATCATTTTAAACCAATTATTATTGACACTGTAGAAATGATAAGCCCATTTAGTGAAAAAGGGTTCTTTTGTTCTCAATATCATGTTGTGCCTTCTCTGACGTAAATATTTTAGTGGAATAAAACAGTCTTGAACAAACCCTCTCACAGCAGAAAGGCTCAATAGAGAGGGTGTATGGCAGCCCTGAGAGTAAGCTACTGCCAGGGAAATACAGAGAAGAACTCAGGGCAGGGTTTGGTTTCATTTTGCTGGTTTGATGAAATACACAGCAGCACACACTGAAACAACATACACACACACACTCACACTCACACAACTCAATAACCTCTCGAGCACAAATTGATATTTTAAAAAAATGACACAAAAAAGTGGAAGGACATCTCATGTTCCTGGATTGGAAGAATTAATATAATCAAAATGGCAATTCTACCCAAATTAATCTACATATTTAATGCAATGCCAATCAAAGTACCAAACACATTCTTCATAGATCTAGAAAAGACAATCATAAAATTTGTCTGGGATCATAAAAGACTCCGAATTGCCAAAGCAATTCTTCACAAGAAGAGTGGAGTACGCAGCATCTCATTCCCTGACCCAAAAATATACTACAAAGCTGTGGTAATCAAAATGGCAGGACACTGGCACAGAAATAGACGTATGGACCAATGGAACAGAATAGAGTCTCCAGAACTAAATTCCCAAACATACAGTCAACTGATTTTTGACAAGGGGTACCAGTCAATCCAGTGGGAAAAGGAAAACCTCTTCAGCAAATGGTGCTGG